TGCCAAGAAAACCCCAAATGGGGTCACAAAGAGTCAGACATGACTGAAACGACTGAACAACCACGAAATTCTGTTGAAAAATTACTAGTGCTGTCCCCAATCCATTTTAGCACAGTGGGACAAAGGCTGGGCCTCCCTACCCTAGTCACAGCTCTGCTAGAATCCAGTGTCTCTACTAAGCAGCTCTGGATGCATAAAGACAGCTAGGTGGACTCCAGAATCAAGCAGTGGACTTGGATTCAGGAAAAACTGAGTTCAAATCCAGCCTTGGACACTTATTAGCTTTGTGACCCTGGACAAGTGATATAAAGTTGGTCTGCCTCAGTTTCCTCATCTGTAAAATGGGTGTAACCTACCTTCCAGTGTTGGTTGTTGTGAGGATAAAATGAGATAATGTTTGTCAACTGTTTTGCAAACCTTAAAGCATGCTAAAAATGCTAGTTATTATATAATGGTGAATGAACATCCTGGGATGGAAAGTACCTAAACTCTGTGGCCTCTGGAGTGCACTTTTGTCTTTTATATGCAGTAATACAGAGACGTGAAACACACAGTCCATGGGGCACAACCCTCCCAAAAGTGTGGCTCAAACCAGATTAAAATGTGGTTCCTACCTGATTTTAATATGTGGATGTATTAATAAAAAACAACGTATAAACACATGCGGTTTTCTAAGTCACTATGCAGTCATAGGGATCCTTACATACGGCATAATAGCCTCCATTTCTGTTTGAGTTTTGATGTCACTGATGTCATCCCTGCTTGAAACAGCCTTGTGTCTCCCCCCTCTGTTAAATGACAAAAAGAAGAAGAATTGAATTGGACAGTAAATGTAACGGAAGTCATTGTAAGGACCCACTCTGAGAGGAGTATTTAGAGGGAGTCGTTGTGCCTTGTGGTAAAGATGGCAGAGACATTGGAGATCTTCTAAAGGAAACGAGGTGGTGGGGTGGATGGAATGATGGATTTGAAGTCAGAAAGACTTGGGCTTGAATCCCGCCTTGATACTTGTTAGCTGGGTGACCCTCTCTGAGCCTTCCATCTGTAAAATGAGGGGGTTAGATTCAATGACCTCTAAGGTCTCTTTAAGCTGTAATTCTATGATCCTAAAATAAAAGCAAAATTTTTTTTTGGAGGCGATCAGGGTAAAGTGACTTGCCCAGGGTGACACAAACACAGGTTAAAAACTCAGGCATGGGGGCAGGCTAGGTGGTACAGTGGAGAGAGCACCAGCCCTGGAATCAGGAGGACCTGAATTCAAATTCAGACTCAGACACTTGACACTTACTAGTTATGTGATCCTGGGCAAGTCACTTAACCTCATTGCAGGGGGGCGGGAGGGAAACTCAGGCACTCCTTCCTGACTCTAGGGTCAGTGCTCTATCCACTGTACCACCTAGTTGCCCCAAGGTAGAATTTTTAAATGTTCACTATTGTAACTGATACACTATGTGGCTGCTCTATGTTAAGTGCCTATATCCTATGAAAGTGGGGGTCGTTGGCTGAAAAAGACAATTCCAGGTGTGAGATGGGGCCTCTAGAGTCACCAATTTTCTATTTTTAATATTTTTGAGCGATATTTATTTGATACCCTAGTTTAAATGCCAAACATTGCCAGGGCCACCATTTGGGGTTGAGGAGAAGAGAAGGAAGATGCATTTATATAGCTCCTTCTTATAAATTTTATCTCATTTGCTCCTCACAATAATGCTGTGCTGTTGTTACCCCCTTTGAGGAAGCTGAGGCAAACAGAAGTTGTGATTTGCCCAAAGTCACATAGCTAATAAGTGTCTGTGGCCAGATTTGGACTCAGGTCTTTCTGACTCCTGGCCCAGAAGTCTATCCACTGAGCCATTTAACTTCTATTTTGATGGTGGTGGTGGGGAGGAGAGAAAAAAGACAGACAGACAGAGAGACAGAATCAGACAGCTGAAAACCCCGGGGTGTATGTCTGTAAAGGAGAAGGTCCCTGAACAGAGCAAGTTGGAAAATTAGTCTGGAGAGTTACGAGCTGAGCTACGTTTGAAGTGAGCATGGCTGGCATGGGTACTTCCTCAAAAGGAGGTTACAAGGAGGGAGAGGCTATAAGGGTGAAAGAGTAGGCAGGAAGGCCCTCTCTTCTTCTTCTTTTTTTTTTCCAGCCAAAGACAAGGTTTATTAGAACATCCAGGGGCAGCTAGGTGGCACAGTGGATAGAGCACCAGCCCTGAAGTCAGGAGTACTTGAGTTCAAATCTGGCCTCAGACCAAACACTTGACACTTACTAGCTGTGTGATCCTGGGCAAGTCATTTAACCCCAATTGCCTCACCAAAAAAAACCAAAACAAAACATCCATCATATTGGGCAGACTCTTAAGGATTCTGAATGTTAGTGAGCTATTGGCTAGATTGTAAGAATCTGAGCACCTTAATAGAGACAAGATGGACCTTATATACAGAAAGACTATGGGAGGGACCTAGGAGTGGCCAAGTTGTCTTCAGGAACTGTGAGGTAATAGAACACCAGGGACCTGGACCATGGGGCCAAGGGAAAATGGAGCCTAGCTTGGATTAAGGGTGGGAAGAGGCCAGGGACCATAGGGAGGTAAGACAATAGAGGAAGGGCCTCTCTTTTTCAGAGAGACTCTGAGACCACTTGGCTTATGGCTTGAGTATCATGCCAACCAGTGGGCAAATCAGATATTGCACTCTCTCACTGGATAATTAATATAGTGACACACTACCTTTAAGTAGGCTTGTGGAAGGCAGCATAGGAGTTAATGTGGGCTAAAGTCACTATTGCAGTGTCACATAGTATATATACAACATGACACATTCTGGTGTCACACACATGGTAAACAAGTATAGGTAATAGTTAACCGTTGACAGATAAATGAGCTCTCTCATTTCAGTGGTTCAAGATCATAGTAATTACTGACTTCAGGGCCGATGCTCTATCCACTGCGCCACCTAGCTGTCCTTCAATTTTCTTAATGGGCTGAGAAATCCTAGTATCTTTCCCCCAGGTTCTCTGTCTATAGGTATATAGCAAAATCAGGATCACAAAGGCCAACAATGCAAATCCTTTCCTGACACCAGCCTTACAGAGGATCCAGAATTTGAAATAATGGCTGAAAAGGCTGGATCTTATAGCTTGAGATGAGTGGGAAGAGATGTTTTTGTGGTCCTCTCTCATTTTAGAGGGCACTAGGGAGAAGGAGGAGGAGAGAGAAGGTGTTTCAGTAAGCATGAGAGACTTGAAATCAACCACACACACACAGAACCCTCTGATTGATTCTTTATTGTAACCACTGTCCTTTGATAGATTCAGTTTCTTTCAGTAGATTTTCCCTTTCCCTCTGCTCCATCTAGCTCATTCATTCCTACCATCTGTTCCTCTTCATCTCCTCCACAAGTGCTAAAGGAACTCACTTGCCAGGCCCCTCCAAACTCCAGCCAGGCTGGGGAGAGCGCATCTCTTGAGAGAAGGCTGTCAGGTAAGATTAAGATCCTATCTCTCTTGCCCTGTCTTCAATGCCGTATGTCCATAGCCGTGATCTTGGTATCAGTACTCTGGCCCAGCCTGGAAGAAAAAGAGATCTTCAGAGGTTGGGACTTACCAACTTTAGGAGACCTCCTTCTTAGGACTCCACGGTTCTTTCCTAGACTATAGCGGTCATACCTCCCAGCCAGCTCTGAGCCTTAGAGTTGGATACCATTCTTTGGCTAGTGTGTCAGCCCATACATTAGGTTGGAGAGATCTGTACAGAGGTTCTGGACTCCCTTACCTCAGAGTTTTAGGCTTAGGGTCTAGTGCCACGTTTCTTTTGCTCTGTGTTCTGAAGCTTGGTCAGCAGCTTCCGCTCGTGGCCACCTGGGCTGTGTCGGTTGGTATGGTTGGCAGCTTCTCTTTTGGTACGACCCTTCCCACTCCCTCTTCCTGAAATAGAAGGCAATAGTCTTAGGAATGAGATGCTCAGAGAGTATGGTGGGTGGAAGCCACTTGGTGGCTGTGGTTGCAGAGACCAACAGAAAGAGAGATAGAGGCATGAGGGGCAGTGGCAAAAACTGGACTGGAAACAGGATTCCCGAGTCCTATTTCTAGATTTCTCTTTAACTTGCTGTGTAAATTTGGGCAAACCATTTCATTCTTCTCAGCCCCCTCAGAGTTTGGATTAGACAGTTTCTCAGATCAGTATAATTCAATTCAACAAACATTTATTAAGTATCTACTGTATGCAAGGCATTGTATTAGGTACTGGAGATCCAAAGACAAAAATGAAATATCCTTGCCTTTAAAGACCTCATATTCCAATGGGGAACAACATGTACACAGATAAATGAATACAAGGTAATTTGAAGAGGGCAAGGGATCTAAAAACTAGAGGGATGAGGAAGGTTTCAAAAACAAGGGGGAAACTGAGCTGAACCATGATGGGAAATAAGGATTCCGAGAGGCTAAGATAAAGAGACATTGTAAAGGCTTCTATAGGGTTGTTTGTAGGACTGGCTGGGACCTACGATTAAAATTAAGTGGATAGAGGGTGGGGATGGGTGTCAGGTGATGGTTAGGTTGAAATCCATAGGGTACCCTGAAAATATCAAGAAAAAAGGTTCTAGAAATACAGAGCTGAGTCTAGACAGGGAGAGGACTGGAACCAGGGGTACTAGGCAGGAAGCTAGAATGAAAAGGCATCTAGGTAAGGAAGGTGGGGCCACATCTCACCCAGATAAGAATCAGTAAAGCTGTATATGTCATACTGGTCCAAACACTCTGGCTCCTCATCCTCCAAGGTCAGGGGCTGGAGTGGTGGAGAAGGTAATGG